GAACACGCAAAGAAATCGCCAAACTGGGAAAAGTCAACAATCTTTTTCAACTTGAATGCATTGCCTATATTTTGACAAAACTTTGTTGCTTTTTTACAAATAACTGAGTGAACACAATTGATGGATGGTGAAACCCCCACCTCCTCAAACTATGGTGCTTTTTCACTAAACACCGAATACCAACAGCAGCCAAATGCCATTCAGTTGTAACAGATTGGCTGTTTGAACCCATTCTAATATATACAAAATGCTAATTTTATTACTTCCCTCCTAATATGACCTTCTATTTGGCTGCAGTTTGGTTGTCAACCAAATCTTTATATAAAGTCAGTTATTCAGCTATTTTACAAACATCTGTAGGGATTCAGGTACATTTTGGGTGCATTTCAGTCTGTTCTTTCAAAACCCGATACAGACTAAAGGAACTGCACCTAAAACTCCAAGACTCCATAATCCTAAATCATCCTAATGTCACCCCAAACACACGTAACCCTATAAGGATACCTCATCCTAAATCATCTTAAAACCTAATCTTACATTAATAGCTTTTTGTTTTTTTTGTAGCAGGGAATTAGGCTACAACTCAACTGCAATTTTGTTGAAATTTAGTTGAGCTACTTGGAAATGAATCTTACTTCAACAATGAGATCCATTTGAAAATAGCTGGGTTCCATTTGGTCAGTTTGGTTGGGGTTTGGTTGTTTTAAAAACGAAATGCAGGAGAATCATGAAAATCAAGCAAATTAGCCAAGAGAAATTAGATTATAATAAACAGACTTCTCAATAAATATTTGATCCAAATAAAGCCTTTGGTATGTTCTATATAAGGATATTTGTTCTAGAGATATATATATATATATATATATATATATATAGAGAGAGAGAGAGAGAGAGAGAGAGAGAGACATCTATATAAACACAATAGTATATTTTTATAATATCTTTTTTAAATCTTTTTTGTTGTTGTTGTTGACGGTTGGTTACAGAAACAGACCCTACCGGACATCTGTCAGGATGACTGAGGGATATTAAGTGAACTTGATCATGTGTCAGACCATTTCAAAATACACTTACAGTACATCAAAAAATGATATATCTGTCAAAGCAAGGAATTCAACATTTGGCAATACAGGCGACTTTCACAAACAGAACTGTCCAATTACATTACAGGCCACAAACTCCTGGTATTCATGCCAGAGTCACTAAACAATATTTGGTTAATATAATGTGCACACAAATATAAATACAGCACACACAAACATACACTAGCTCATGTAAATTATGGCTTGCCATTGCTCACCTGCCCATCACTACCTCTACCTCCCTAATCCTATCACACTTTATACCTGAATAAGTATGATTAGGTAGGGAATTAGGGCATTGGAAAGAGAGACATGGTACACGTTAGGCAAAGCGCTGACAAAGACAGGGATAATAGAGATAATTATATGTCAGGGGGAGGTTTAAAGGATCTGGAAGGGGTAGCAACTATCCATGCCTGTTAGTAGAGAGGAAAGCTAGTTGAAGGAATGTGAAGGACATGAATAGTATTTAGCTGTGCATCTTTCACAATTAAAGGGACACTTAACTGCCCAAATACTAAAAGACCCTATAGGGGTCAAAACGTCAATCACAGACTTTATCTGCACATGTAATTTGCACCAGTAAATAAACGAATCATCGTATCAAGACCTGTAAGTGCACCTTTTTTCCTATTTTTTGGTCTATATACTAACGCTGAGGTTTGCACCCAGGCAAAAAAAAATTTTTGGTTACTGAAATAGGGTGAGTGCCAAGACTACTTCCTTGTGTGTATATATATATATATATATATATATATATATATATATATATATATTTCTGGTAAGGGCTCATGATAGTACAGAAGAAACAAACACTGATAAGTGTAGGATGGTATTAAAAGAGCAAGTCGGTTGTGGTGTGCCGGAACCGACGATGAGGTAGGCCTGTAAATAAAGAGGGCCCACCAAGAAGAAATGTAAAGAGAAAGGAGTTAATAATGAGGAGTGGTGGGAGGGTGATGCAGCGCTGACCTCGAATGGTATGGAGCCAGGTAAGGGGTGTCCCTTAAGTAGGGAAGGGGTGTGTCATACGCCCCTCCCACAATTACAGGCCTAAAGGCCTTAATATTTGTGGTAAGGGCTCATGATAGTACAGAAGAAACAAACACTGATAAGTGTAGGATGGTATTAAAAGAGCAAGTCGGTTGTGGTGTGCCGGAACCGACGATGAGGTAAGCCTGTAAATAAAGAGGGCAAAAGTAGAAAATCAAATTTATTACATACCAGCAATATACATACATTTAACCAGACATGTTTTGAAAAGCATTTCTTACTTCTTGTACCGGGTTAGGTATGTATCTAGAGTAAGCTGATGATTTCCAGCACCCCAGTGACTTAATAACATGAACTGGGACGTTTGCACTGGATTCTGTGGAGGCCGCTCCTATGCGGAAGGAGTGGCCCGAATAGTTAGCTGATTTGAGGCCTAGCTGAGTAAGTAAGGACTGAGATTGAGAAAATTAATCTTAAATCTCTCCGCATCCATTCACGTGATAATCTCCCTAGACGGGAACAACGGGCCTTAAAGACTTTACAGGATGATACTGACATCATTATGAAACCCGCCGACAAGGGGGGGAATGTTGTAGTGATGGATGTGGATAATTATCTTGGAATGGCGAATAGAGTACTCAGTGACACTGAGACATATAGAATCCTTAAACAGGACCCCACTAATGAATTCCTATCTGTATATAAGGAGATCCTGGATGAGGGTCGCAGTGGGGGGTTGCTATCTGGTGACGAGTTTGAGTTTATCTTTTCTCGTCACCCTAAGATAGCAACCTTCTACTGCCTACCAAAAGTCCATAAAAATTTGGAGATACCCCCTGGACGACCCATAGTCTCTGGGGTTGATAACCTTACACAGAACGGCAGTCTATATATTGACAAAATCCTAAGACCTCTTGTGGAAACCTTACCCTCTTATATTAGAGACACCAAGCAGGCACTAAATAGACTGGCTAACCTTAAATTCTCTTCTAATGCCCAATTATGTAGTTTGGATGTTGAATCTTTATATTCATCTATACCTCATGATAATGGGATTGATCATGTAGCTTTTTTTCTTGACCAAAGAACCCCGCGGGATGACATATATACAGCTTTCCTTTTACGCTTGTTGAGATTTATTTTGTCACATAATTATTTTCTTTTCAATAACCGGTTCTACCACCAGGTGAGGGGTACTGCTATGGGGACGGCTTGTGCCCCCTCATATGCAAACCTCCACCTGGGTTGGTGGGAACAACAGGTATGCAATTCAGATTTGTTGAGTGAATACCTACCTAAGGTTCTATGGTGGGGTCGTTACATCGATGACATTTTGATTGTCTGGCAAGGCACCCCCCTTGAATTCTTAGATATGGTAACTCTCCTTAACGTGAACAATGAGAATCTTCGTTTCACGTCTGAATTTGGAGGACGCTCGATTAATTTCCTCGATGTCACTATTACTATCAGGGAAGAGGGTGTAGTTCATTCCACGCTGTTCAGAAAACCTACAGCAACTAACTCCCTTCTTCACTGGACTAGCCACCACCCTCGACCTCTAAAAGAGGGTATACCAGTTGGCCAATATCTCTGTCTTCGGAGAAATTGTAGTGACACCCAGGATTTCATTACACAAGCTAAACAACTTTGACAATACTTTAAAGAGAAGGGCTATCCAAATCGTTGTTTAAAAAGAGCTTATAAACGAGCACTCCTAACCGAGAGAAATGAATTATTATGTGACACCCCTAAGGAGAACCCTAATCAGGGGAGTGGTACGATGCGCATGATTGCAACGTTTGATATGGGGTGGCCAGAAGTACGGAAATCACTTGAAAGATTCTGGCCTATCCTTTTAAATGATGGACATCTGCGGGATGTTCTAACTCCACATGTCAGTATTACAGATTTTTTGGTTCCCAGCCATTTTTCTATGAAATCACAGCCACGTGCCTCTTGGTTGGGTACTCCACCGACAGGCACATATGGCTGCGGTAGATGCGTAGCCTGTAAGTTTATCTTAAAAGGTTCCAAGATTGTGACTGATAGTAAGGGACAGGGTTCCTTCAAAATTAATAGCTTTTTTAATTGTAACACCAAAGGCATAGTATACCTACTATCATGCATGTGTGGACAGAAATATGTAGGGAAGACCTTCAGGGCGTTCAAGGATAGGATTTTGGAGCATGTGAGATCCCCCAGGAATCGGCTCGAGACTCCTATCTCGAGACATTTGAGAGAACATCACCAGGGAGATCCCAGTAACCTTAGGTTCTGTGGTCTAGAACTGGTTAAAAGGACCCCGAGATGGGGAGACTATGACAAAACTCTAAGACAAAGGGAGTCCAGATGGATATATGAACTCAAGACCCTTCAACCTTTGGGTTTGAATGAGGGATTTTCTTTTGCTCCTTTTATCTAACGGCCTTTTCTGTTATTTGTATATGTAAGGGCTTCTATACTTTGTATATATAGGGCTCTATATATATATACACATCCGGACATGTTCTGTTCTTTTTATATGTAAATAATTTCAATTACACATAAAGATGGAGCTAACTATACCTATTGGTGTCTACAATCCAGTATTATATGCATATATGGTTATTCACTACTAACCCTTTATACATACTTTTTTATTATTTCCAGCCGGGGTGGAATGATCTATATTTCGTTATCTAGTCTCTTTGACTATAAAACTAATATGGATTGGGTTGGATTACTCCAACCATTATTGTGGATTTATCTATTGTTTTTAATTTGTTTTCCGCTTTATCCTATCCCTCAGAATAATATTTCTTTTTACTCCTCCATATAGTTATATATTTCTATCGCTCTAGTTATTATCTATTATAGATACATACTCTCCTGTTTATACTGAGCTATTTGTATAACTAGTTCACTTTGTGCTCAGATATCTTGCGCATGCGCGGCTATTACGCTGCGGACATGCGCATGACCTGGGGGACCTTTCGGGTAGACAGGAAGCTTTTGCGCATGCGTGTCCGCCGGTGGGCGGACATGCGCATTTATCTCTGTTACTCTTCGGACATACGCAACCCGAACAATAAGACATACTGGATGCACATGCGCATGTCTCTCTTCTGACATGCGCATTTCTTCTTGCCTATTAGCACGGTGATAGATTCCACCAATCACAACAAGGAGGAGGTATGGAAAGACATTTAAATAGTTCCGGGGGGGGATTATACATGCGGTTCACTTCATTATTTTTTGATTGCCCTTGAAAAAGGCGGTTAGTCCGCCGAAACGCGCGTTGGGCTGCTTTTTGTTTCTACTTAGACCTATTTGAGGTTTCTCTTTATGGATACCAGGATGTTACACCGATGTTTGAGCTGCTTTTTGCTTTGAATATTCGTTGTTATAGTGATAGAGTTTAGTGAGTTAATTGGTGGGTAGATATAACCTTTTCAATCTGCTGTACTATACCTTTGTTAGGTTATTCCCACTTTATTTTTCACTCTCACTTATTTACCTTCTCTATCCTTTCGATTTCCAAACATTAGTGTCTACCCTGTGGGGTCTAGCGCAAGATATTAGTTACTTTACAATTTACCACTCTGTTATGAGTGAGTTTGATATTAAGTATATACACTGATCTATGTGAGTCTGGTTACACTCCTCAGACAATTGACCCTTTATATCCATTCATTTTAAATTAATTTAGTTTATGTTTTACTTTTGTGTGTGGTGTTGTTTCTCCATTTTTTTCCTATTAAAGTTGTTTATTATTTTTACTTTTGAGACGCCATTTTTTAGGGTGGCTTGAAGGTGATCATAATCCCCCCCTTTTTCTAGGAGGGTTGATCATTTCCTTCATTTTTTTTCTCTCTCTATTGAGTAAGTAAGGACCTGACGTGTGTCATGAAGGTGGTGGTAGTGAGTACAGAACCTTGTAGACTGAAAAGTGGTTGATATGGTCATGCGTTGTTTTGCTGGGTATATATTACTGTTCAGCTTATATTCTCCTAATTAAAAAATGCATGCATTTAATTATGCAGGTTCTCATTAGGGGTATATCTAAAAATGGTTTGCAAAAGCTGCAAATCTCTTACCAGCAGCCTTTGCAAGTCCTCCCCTCTTAATCTGCCCAGACTTTCTGTGGCTGTCCAATCACAGACGTCCCAATGCAGCTCAATGAGAAGGCAGGTGGGCATTTCCTTGAGTTTAGCTCCACTGATCTAAACAACTCTGTAGTAACAAGACCATATGTCTGATTGACAGCTGAGCAGGGGGAGGGGGGGTGTAATTTATAAAAGGTTCATTTATAAAAGTGCCAATTCTTATTGAAATCTACACCATTTTTTAAATGAAAAAAAAAAAAAGAGGACATACGTAAACCATTTCAGCAAGCTTCAGTGTTTTAGGGGTCTGGAGTATTCTTTTAAAGGAACACTATAGGCAGTATAACCATGTTATCTTAAAGTGGTTAAGGTGTCTGGAGTTCCATGGCAAATGGTTTACCCTTGAAAATGTGTCAGGCAGATCAGTGCCTGAGGACACATCATCAGTGTTAAGCAACATGAAAATAGTTTAACACTGAAAGTTAAGAAGGTGCCTAAGGACTCTGAACCCCATAAACACTTTAGATTAAACGGTTATGGTGCTCAGAGTGTTGTTCCTTTTATGACCTTCTATATGCATTTAATTTATACCTTCATTGACACACATTTACTGTCCCCTTGAAATTAAGCCTTAGGAACATGTTGGAAGTGAGCTATCTGTGACCGATTCCCTAAACTGTTGTCTTCACAGAAGGGGAAGTTCTCTTCCGTTCTGCTACTTACTAGGTGTATTCCTGACCCAATTTTCTGATTCTTCCAGACAAATATATCAGAGTGCCATTATTGGCACACTTGTTTCTGAGAGTAAAACCTATTTTAGGTTTTTTGTGTAGCAAAGGCTTATCATCTCTCCTACACAACACCATGTAGTCTAATGACTGGGCAGAAAAAGGCCTCTGCCACAATATCACTTTAAGAAAAAAAGAATTGTCCATACAACCTCAAGCAAACTGAAATAACAGTGTTACGACTGTGTTTATTCTCTCCCTCTTAAATTATAACCATTGACATTATTCACTGCACTTCCAAATTTAATTCAGAATAAATATAGATTATTCAGTCTAGGGGTAGATTTAAAGTTTGCTTTAAGTCTGCAGTAAAATCTGTTCATGAGCCATAAAATAAACTTTAACTAGAGAAGACCAGTTTGTTGTTTTTTTGTATCAGAAATAATTAACTTGTGGAAGAATGGTTAAGAGGATTCTGCCTGGCTTCCTGTTTCTGATAAAGGAACAAGTTATTTTCTAAGGTGATATAAACATTTATGTACATTTCATTACAACAGCCCTTCTAGTATCACAATCATCTTTGAAAATAATCAGATGCGGTTTAATACATATTTTTTTTTTTTTTTAAATTCTTTATTTTTGTAGTGCATAGGCATATAACAGTTGCATGTGAGGTACCCCAAAGGCATTCCTCTAGCACAATACGAACAGTGGAACATAGGGGTACAAGGGAGATCAAGCACATTTTTTATATATAAGGGTAGAAACAGTATAGCTTTACTTTGTTTAGGCATTTGCATAACGTTTGCATAACATAACTTTCTGGGCATGTGATTATTTTGCAGTGGCAAGAGATGGTCAAGCTATGAGTAAGTTACTACATGCGTTAAGGAAAGGCTGAGTGAGTTAAAAGATTGGTTATTGCTAGTGGCAGCAGCAGGAGATATGGTGGTAAGATATGCTGTGACATGGCTGACATAAGTTAGTAACGTGTCGGGTTGGACACCATCATGGCAGGCTGGTATGTCTACCTATACGTGGGTGTTTAGCTTATGAGTAACTAGAACCTTCCTAGCCATTAAGGCTATAGATTAGTGGTCCCACGGATAAGTGTGCTGGACCAACTCTGGTGGCAGGGTATCGAGGTTATACTCGGAGAGGCTTGGTAGGTGATTGCTGCGTCCCAAGTGGCATTCCCCCCGTGGTCCCTAGCGTTGACAGAGCCATGTGCCATGCCGGGTTGCTGTATGCAAGTGCCCAGCACCAATGGGACATTGGGCTTAGTGTTTAGTTGGCGGCAGTGGCGCTGGCTTTACATTAAGTGTGTAGGTGCAGTTGTGGGGCATACATGGAGCAAAAGAAAGTTGAATAACATAATAAATGCAACTCGTAAAAAATAAAAAAAAAAAATGAAGGTACATATTTACACTCTTGTCATAAATAGAGTCCTCCACTGTCTGCGGTTAGGTATGTCCGCTGTGTCGGTCAAGTCCCCTAGCCAACTCCAGCTCTCAGGGCGTGCAGTCTGGTTGCAGGGATCTTCTTGGTGTTATAGAGTGTCCAGCCTCTTCGTTCGATGCATGGGGTCTCTGCGTTGATATAGGCTTGGCCCCATTCCGGTGGGGTGGACCTGCCAACGTGAAAGAGTCTGCGTGAGGTGATGTGTCGCCGGCTGTGGTGTCGCCTCTGAGGTATGCCAGGGCCTACCTCCGAGTGTTGTCGGTAGGGGTGTTGCGGTGTGGTCTGCCTGGGGCCCTTCGGCTAATATATATTTTTAAAAGGTATTTCTGCTGCATTATAAATCTACAGGCTATGGAATGAAGATCCTCAGACCTTAGACAGATCTTGTCGGCTTTACCTGGACACGTCGATATTCTTGATATATCAAATGTGTACATTCAGCTTTCGAACACAATCTGGAAGAAGTAGGGTTTCTAATATGCTCCTGGTATGGAAAGGCGCCAAGTGATACCTCACGGCCTCTCACTGTACCAGACATGCATTAGTGTTAGAATGACCTGACTTTCATGGAAGGTATGGTTACCAGTTAAACAGCATATATATTTCAGTTATGGAATCTAGTTAATTATGTGTAGATTCTGATTAACATCATCTATTTATAGAACACCAGCACATTCTGTAAATGGTGTTAATGGAAGCAATAAATACATTTCCTTGATGTGAATGTAAACTCTATATGAAATGGAAATCTGCAGCTAAATCCTCGTCAGATGATACAACAACAGAGCTACTGAGATGCATCACTTTTAAACAAACTAGTATAGTTAATGAAATAGACCAGGGGTGGGCTGACAACTTTTGGGTGGTAAGCTTGGAGCATACTCGCAGATACACACTGACACACACAGATGGACACACATACTCACAGATATACACTGACACTCACAGATACGCACTGACATTTACAGATACACACACATACTCACAGATACATAATGACACACACAGATGCACACACATACTCACAGATACATAATGACACACACACTCACGGATACACACTGACACTCACAGATGCACACACATACTCACAGATACATAATGATGCACACACATACTCACAGATACATAATGACACACACAGATGCACACACATACTCACAGATACACACTGACACTCACAGATGCACACACACACACACAGATGCACACATACCTAAACATACACACTGGCATACACACAAATTGCAGCTTCCATATTGTTAACCACTCCCCTATTTCCAAACCTTTGGAGGGAGGTAACTTGCTGGAGCTGGCTGATCCTGATGGGAGTCTGAAGCTGCAGAGCTCTCTTTTCTCCCTCCTCCTCTCTGAGCTGCATCCTGTGACTTCCCAGCCCACGCGGTCTGTAAGCTGGGAGTAAGTAACATTCACTTCCTCCCAGCACTCCCTGCAACTTTAAAGGGACCTGGTCTGCCAAAGGGCTGCAGCACCCGACAGGTAGCTCAACCAATGGCAGCTGCACTATTTTCGGGCAATTGCCCTGTTGCCGCCACTGGGTCACAGGCAAACACTGCCAAGGAAATCATGCATACCGAGTGTAGTCTGGACAACTTCAGATACCACAGTCCACCAAACATATCCCAGTGGGCCAGTCCCAGCCTGGGCAGCACAGGCCTCCAGCCCCTGCATAAATCCATACAGTGCTGGACTTTTTCCCAACTCCTGCATACTGCCTTACTCTTGTTGACATCTCAGCAAAACTGTGAACAATGCTGAGGGAGCCTGGCAGTGTCTTTCCTCTGGTCGTCCATGTAAATATTCCTTTATTAAATTGAGTTTCCCTCCCTGAGGGAACCTGGCAGTACTGTTTCTCCTTACCCTATTGCAGGCCTTCCAGAGGACCCATGGGGCTGAATCCTTCAACTCGCTGCTCCACAGTGTCCAGGGCGAGCAGGCTGCTTAGGAGGGGCCGGTGCAGGAGGCGCAGACTAGGAGTGGACATCTGGCCCGCCATTCCAGACAGCATAACAGACTGCATTCCCCTAGTCCAGTGCGGAGGTCCCGGGTCGGAGTATCGCCAGAGGGTCCGGGGCAGAGTGAGGCTGGCTCCAGATGGCAGGATGCGGGCATCGTGAGGCGGAGGAATGGCAGCAGGTGCTGCGGAGGTCGAGGTGGCCGGGCTGGGCGGCAAAATCGCCCAAGATGGCGCCAAAGACGAGGAGAGGTCCTGCAGTCCTCACCCTTATCTTGCGGTGGCTGCAGAAGTGACGTCGGAGCGTGCGGCCACACGCAGGAAGAGGCGGAGTGCCGCTCGCCGGAACTCGGGTGGCGCATACGTGACGTCTGCAGACGTCACAGGCCCCTGCCAATCCCGGAAGTCCCAGAGCTCCTTGGACTGGGGAATCGGAGGAGGAGCACCTCTGGCCCCCGGCAAGTGGGGCAGGCCAGCAGGTGGTTTCTTGTTTTTATTTTAAAATTTTCAGTTCTTTGTTGGAATGGATCGTAGCGCGGGTGTCGGGCTGTTCTTCCCTCCTTCACTATCTCGACGACTTCTTGTTTGTCGTTCTGGCTGATTCCTCACAGTGTAGCGGTTTGTCCATCTCTTCTGCACTAGTAGGGTTCTCAGGTTTGTACGGACTTTTTTTTCTGCTTTTATAGGGTTATGGCGGATTTTGGGGTTCCAGAGGCTGAGGAGAAAACAGGGGGCCCTAGTACGATTATTTCTTCCTAGGGATTTAGATACAGTTGGCTAATAAAGTGTTTCACTTGCCGGAGACCAAGCTTCAGGTTGTCCTCTCTAGTTGGTCAGGTTCGAGGGGCTCCCCATTGGGTATTTGAATTCTGCAATTCCCCCTAAGAACGCAGGGCCGCCATCAGAAATTTTGGGGCCCATGACAAAGCACAAGGTCTTGCCTCCCCTCCCGGGCCCGCCCACACCCTACCTAGTCTGCTCACAATGATGCAGGACTGAATGTGGTGTGTATAGTGGAAGTGAATTAGAATGTGTGTAATGGATGTAGTGTTTGTGTGAATTAGATAATGTTTGTGTAGTGAATGCAGAGTGTGTGTTTGTGTCGCGGATGCAGTGTGTATAGTGAACGCAGAGTGTATTTGAGTAGTGGATGTAGTGTGTGTACAGTGATGTAGTGTGTGTTTGTGTAGTGGATGTAGTGTTTGTATGTACTAGATGCAGTGTCTGTAGTGGATGTAGTGTGTGTATTAGACACAGTTTCTGTGTATAGTGAATGCAGAGTGCTTCAATTTGTGGTGGATGTAGTGTGTGTACTGTGAATACAGGATGTTTGTGTAGTGGATGCTGTGTGTACAGTTAATGCAGAGTGCATGTTAGTGTAGTGAATGCAGAGTGTGTGCATAGTTTAGTGAATGCAGAGTGTGTGTTAGTGTGTAATGAATGCAGAGTGTGTGTTAGTGTGTAGTGAATGCAGAGTGTCAGTGTAATGAATGTAGTGTGTGTATTAATGCAGTGAATGCAGAGTGTGTGTAAATTTGTTGTCAATGCAGAGTGTGTGTTAATGTGTAGTGAATGCAGAGAGTGTTAGTGTGTAGCGGATGCAGAGTGTCTGTTAGTTTAGTGAATGCAGTGTTAATGTGTAGTGAATGCAGAGAATGTGTTAGTGTAGCGGATGCAGAGTGTGTGTTGTGTTAGTGTATGCAGTGTGTGTGTTGTGTTAGTATATGCAGTGTGTGTTGTGTTAGTATATGCAGTGTGTGTGTGTTTGTTGTGTTAGTGTATGCAGTGTGTGTGTTGTGTTAGTGTATGCAGTGTGTGTGTTGTGTTAGTGTATGCAGTGTGTATGTTGTGTGCGTGTGTTGCGTGTGTGTGTGCATTGTGTGTTGTGTTGGTGTGCAGTGTTGTGTGTGTGTGTGTTTGTTAGTGTGTGCGGTGTGTGTGTTTGTTGGTTGTTAGTGTGTTATTACGTGTCATGCGTGTGTGTTGTGTGTGTGTGTTGTGTTAGTGTATGCAGTGTGTGTTGTGTTAGTGTATGCAGAGTGTGTGTTGTGTTACTGTATGCAGAGTGTGTGTTGTGTTACTGTATGCAGTGTGTGTGTTGTGTTACTGTATGCAGAGTGTATGTTGTGTTAGTGTATGCAGTGTGTGTGTTGTGTTACTGTATGCAGTGTGTGTGTTGTATTAGTGTATGTGTGTGTAAATGTGTGATCTGGGGGGAGGGAGGAAGGGGCATTTTCACATACATTTTAATTAAATTAATTAAATGATATTCCCTCCTCCCTGCTTACCTGTGTCCACGGAGGGGGGAGATTCCATCCCTGGTGGTCCGGTAGGGGGCCCCAACCCAGCTCCATGTTAACGCAGAGGGGGCCCAGGCAGCACACAGTTTCCCCTCTCTTCTTTCTTCTAATAACTCTTGCGAGACTAGGTTACCATGGCAACGCTCTGCGGGTCTCGCGAGAGTTATTAGAAGAGAGAAGAAGCTGTGTGCTGCCTGGGCCCCCTCTGTGGTAACAGGGAGCCGGGGGGCCCGCGGCTGCACACATAGATAGCGATATTTGCTATCTATGTGTGCAGAGAAAGACAGTGGGTCACGTCACGGTTGTCACCCCCTGACGGCGGCCCTCGAAGAATGTTTGAGGCTGCAGTGCACAATTGTCTTATTAGCCCTCCCATGCTAGTGACCACTGAGGAAATTGCTTTCTTGCACTCCTTGCTAGCCCTCCAATGAGGTAGTCTATTTAATAAACAGTATAGTGTGTTTAAATGTCATCAAATATTTGCTGCTTCATGTCAAAGACTCTAGTAAAAATAAGCTCCCTTGAAACAGACGTCAACTGACAATTCTAATTCTAATAAATTTCACATTTGCTTATAAATAGGAATAAAAAAATAGTATTTGTCAGGGATCTGTACGGACATAAGCATGGATACCAATGTTGGGAGCTATGAAGGCAGGAGGGAGGACTTGGTAGGGGACAGACAAGTGTTGTTAAACAGGTCACTGGTAAGGTTTGGTAGCGGTTAAGGAAATGTAAAATAACCTGCATTATGCAAGTGTGTTTAACGATGTACTCTCAACTATATATATATTTTTTTCCCCAGAAGTGACGCACCAAAGAAAAGTCCAGGACAGCAATGCAGAGATCCAACAGACATTCCCTCCAAATCAGACAGTTGGGAGGTATACAAAAGCAAAGGATTCAAGGCATAGTGTTACAGTTTACAAACTACGACATAAGGTATAAGGGACCCAACTCTATCTAGCTACAGTATGGACTGAGGATGCTATAAATATCTGTGATAAACTCTATCCTTGCACCTCTTGAAGAATCTAGACATATGGAGAGAGCCGTTGTACCTGTTATGGAGAAAGGCTTTATCATTCTTTAATTTAAGTACAGTGGTTATGTGGGGTAAAACATGCAAAAGCCTCCTTCCCCTGGACTTACTTTTACTTACTTACAAAATTATGTACATTTTTTCCTTTTCAAGTTTGGCAAACAGACTTAAAATTATTTGTTTTCAAAAGGAGCTCAACCCTTTTTAAAGCACCATAATAAATTTTGTCCCATTAGAGATTGAATAAATAAAGTTGCAGTCCTGCTTTACTTTAGGGAGATGCCACTGTTCTATTTTATTTTAATGCTAGAAGACGGTTTTGATCTCACCACGCCAAACCCTCACAAATCAAGGATGTAGTGCTCTCACTAACTTGTCGGTATTATGTTCATTTTCTGGGTGGCAATAAATATTGGAATAAAATAAACTGGAGACGGCTTGCTGGGGTCCTGTTCGAGATCTTTATGGTTTCTGCGACGGCTGAATGACAGCTCAGGCTGGAAGCAGGCGGCCCTTTTCACCAAGTAAATTTAGCCTTGGGAAGGATGAAAATCATCTAACTCCTGAGCTGTGATGGTTGGTGCCAGTCAGTAAATCAGTCAGGTTTTAATTATCGGACACATGACAGGGAGCAGTGACAGGTTGCAGTCCACTGGAGAGAATTCTTTAATAGCAGCTTTAAAAACTGCATAGCACTTGGGCAGCAAAGAATAAAAAGAAAAGAAAAAGAAAAATGAAAGAAAAAGAAAAAAAAAAACAAACCGATACAATCCAGTTGAAGCTTATCTATGGTGTATTTACAGCCTGATTTAATTCCCACCATAATCATTTTAACTCCTTGTTGGAGATCCTGGGATAAGAATACGGTGTGGTATGATGACGAGCCTGGCTAAACTTGCCAGTTACTTGTACTTACCCTTTTCTTACATTTATTATTCACTGTTTGACATCGACAGAGAATGTTCCCTGTTATGCCCTGCAGCCCACTTTTGTGCACCTTCTGTACAACTACGGAGGCCATTAATGAGTGACCTGAGACAAAAGGTACAGGTAATAAGGCCTTGGCTTCCTGCATGAAATCTAGTGAAGTACCAGAGGCGTCAAGAGGTCTCTTGGCTTATACCAACAACTTATACCAGCCATCGTAAAGGACACAATAAAATGCACTCTGTTCTCGGAGTTCAATACACGCTACACATTTATTATATTAGAGCAGGTGTTGGCAGAGGTGGACTGCAAAATATTCCTTTTGCATAACTCCAGTTTAGAGATCTTCCCAAATGAGATAAAAATTAGACAGAATTATGAGAGACAGGGCAGGTCTATAAATTACAAAATAATATAACAGTGGCTATGTGGGGTGAGTGAGTGCTGTTCTTTACCATGAGACAACCTCAAGATATTGCAATACAACGATTGTCTGCTACATATTTTACACAACCAAATTTGCATATGAGGTTTGTGGGTCTGTCAAATATGCATCAGAATAAAATTAGATATGTAGATAGTGTCATAGATTTTAAGTATTGCGTTTAAGTAGTAAGTCTAACACTGACTGAGTAAAACTCTATGATGAGCATTGGATTGGGCCATCACAGCAGTGGCCACGTCTCCTCTGTGACATTGCAGAAGGCAGAGAAGTGAGCAGCGGAGTCTCATCGCTAATAGGTAAGTAAAACCTTCATTTTTTTTGTATATAGAGCTAATGACAGAGGCACTAAAGCATTAGGGATACATGTTTATATTCCTTTTGTATAACGCTAAAGTGTGAAAAATTAAATGTATGAACCCACACTGCTTTCTCTCCTGCAACAGAGCATCTCCATCTTAGCTCCCTGTCAGTCATTGTTATAAGCGCTTTGCTTTGCATCTGGTAGTCCGCATCGAGAAAGCAAGCAAAGAGGAGAATAAAACTATTAGGGTTATTTACTAAAGTGAGAATTCAAAGTGCGTTTCAAATGTAAGGCTGGAGAGTAGTCGAACGGAACTGGCTTACAGAGTTTTTAAAACTTGGCTACTTCGACCTTAAATTTGAAATTCACTTTGAATTCTCACTTTAGTGAATTCTATTTCACCTCCTCACATGCAATGTTTAACCCTGGCTTTGCCATGTTTGAACTGGATTATGGCATCATTTGCAAAATCTTTAGTATAAATATAAATGAGAATAGAGCATGAAGAAAAGGTTTAAGCATTTTATAGTTCATTAACAGCTGAATCACTTGGGACAACAGGTAGTTCCTCTGTCACCTACAGTCCTGTTGTAGAACTAGACCAATACTGCTCCAGAAAGCAATTTCATATATTGCCAACAGAGGGCATCTAGTGTATAGGTGACAGTACCAGAATAAAATTAGTTTAATTTAGGATTTTATCTGTAATATTGAGTCCATTCTCATCTGTTGTATTTACCTGCA